GTAGGAAAGAAATAATGTGCTACTGGGAATAAACAAAACCTTTTAGAGCAACCCCCGCCTAAAGAAGACGTCGGCTATGGTAGGCAAAGGGACAAGCGAGCTCGACGAAGGGCGATGGTTTCTTTCCTGTATGTTATATCATAGCGGGGTCTCGAGATCGGACAGGTAATTGAGATGGAACGGGTGACTTAATAAACGTCCTCTTGTTTGCTACAGTTCTGCCTCTGTCTCTTCTTTCCACTATGGGCTCGATAGTGTTAACGGTAAACAGTCATACACGCAAGAGCCGGAAAAACGGGGAATAGGAGTGGGGGGAGATGAGAGAGGGGATATATCTTCGAACGAAATTTTGGGGATAATGAGAGTGGGGTATACTTTCAGTTGAAAGTATTGGGATGAAGTAAGGGGTAGGCTTTCTAGCGAAAGCTTGGTTTAGTTAGGAAGAAGGGCGCGCCTCCAGGAGTTAGCGTAAAGGGGAACTCCCTACGCTAACTACGGGGACAAACGCAAATGATGGCGCGACGTAGGCACTGCCCCATAACTCATGCAGGATGATCCAATGACTGTGCAGTGTGGATAGTAACCTATCTTCACTGCACTGTGATTGGTCATCCGAAATGACGTCACCAATCAACCCCTTATAAGGCGCGCGCGCACTCCATTCTGCCCTTTCATTCATCGCCACGCCAGCATCGCCAGTTTTGCCAGAGAGGCAGTCTCTTCGGCTAGCAGTAGCCCAGCCACGTGTACGCGGACTGAGTTCGGAGCACGACCAAGTCGCCTCCAAAAGGTTTGGGTGTGGCGGTGGTAAAGCTTTCCCGTTTAGGACGGGTTTTTACAAGTATTTTGGGCGTTTGTTTGCGCCTTGCTTTCTCCATTTGATTTTACTGTTCAGAGGCGGTTTACGCACCTGAGACCCTGCATTTACATGTGAATGCTTGTTTTCTCATTTGCGGGATTGTGTGGGGTGGTATGGCTTGTTATGTTTGCAACGGGGAGGAAAGCTCAAGTTAAGTTTCCTGAAGCGTCCACGACCTGGCCTAACTACCTCGCGTGGCGGACTCTTGCTTGGCTTGGGGGACTTAGTTGAGAGTCCAAGTTCTGACGTGTTATATTTATGTCATTGTCAGACAACATGTCTCAGTAACCGAGCGCTTCTGGAACCTCCGTGCCGAGGAGGGGTGGACAACAACGCCAACCCGAGCAGGGAGGAGTGGAAC